TGTCTGGAACTCAGGCAATAACGAGAATGGTATTGGCTGCTGTTATTGCCGAAAAGCTTGTTAACCTTAGACAACAGTGGAAGTGGGAAGTGGAAGAGAGGTTTAAGTGTCATCCAAATAACAGCCATCTGTTGGGGGAAATACATGCTACTCTGATCCTTTGCTGAGAGGTGTCTTTGTTGCCGCGCGCAGCTCCTGCGCCTCGCAGGCCCCTTGCTGCCCAGCTCCGGCTCGCACGCGGCGGCCACGGACCTCGGAACGCTCGCCTTTGTGACTGCACAGACGGGCGGCGGTCTCCGGGAGGGGAGTGGGCGACGTTCTCCTACGCGACCACCAGAGACCCCGGCAGGCCAGCCATGCTCGGGAGACCAGGTGACAGTGTAACTTTGTGACTCACTGCGCTCCCTTCCTCCTTGCTGCCCAGCTCCGGCTCGCACGCGGCGGCCACGGACCTCGGAACGCTCGCCTTTGTGACTGCACAGACGGGCGGCGGTCTCCGGGAGGGGAGTGGGCGACGTTCTCCTACGCGACCACCAGAGACCCCGGCAGGCCAGCCATGCTCGGGAGACCAGGTGACAGTGTAACTTTGTGACTCACTGCGCTCCCTTCCTCCCCTCCTGCTCACCCCACTGAGCGAGCATCAGACTTGACACACGGCTGACTTAGCCCAATTCTCCCACAAAGAAAGGAAATCATTTATGAAAAAATAACTTCACCAGTGTCCAGGAATCTGCCTATCATTTTTTTTTTTTTTTGAGACAGTCTCACTAATAGTTCAGGATGGTCTTGAACGCACTATATAGCCCAGGCTGGTCTCCAACTTGCAGTGTTCCTCCTGCCTCAGCCTCCTGAGTCTACTGGGATTACAGGCTACCAATTTTGTGTGTGTGTGTGTGTGTGTGTGTGTGTGTGTGTGTGTGGTACTAGGGATTGAACTCAGGACCTTGCGCTCGTGAGGCAGGCAGGGTGCCACTGAGCTAAATCCCTGGCCCACTGCCTTTCAGTTTTTGAAGACCATCCCTCATCCCCACACGGTGCCTGATGGGAACCCCAGTCTGATCAAGGGTCCAGTGTGACTAAAACTGAGCATTTTGCTGTGCTACCAGAATTTCATAGTTTAAAGTAGCCTTGGCAGAGGTAAGGGGAAAAAAATGAGAATCAAGACTTGCCATGTAAAGGTACATGATCCCAACAATGAATGTAACTGTACTGTATCCCTAAATGTACCAATAAACTCAATAAAAAAAAAATAAATAAAATAAAGTAGCCTTGAAAGACAAGCTGACTACTTCCTTTTGGGCCAAACTCAAGAAACAGCCATAGAGGTAATAATTGGAAGTCCTGGTTTTCTAGAGCACTCTAATTCCCTGTGATTTCTACTTTCTCTCCCAGGTCTCTGAATGAATTGTGACCCAGCCACACTAAGGGTTCCCTCTCTCTTGTCCCTAAACTCCTGGCACAAGATGTATTTTGGAACTTAATCATGATTTGGGTTTCAGAAATGTAACATGGTGCAGGAGGAAGCATGTTGGCCCCACTGTTGCTGGCAGCCATGTTGTAACCATGAGGGAAGTCAGTGTGACAGTATGTTAGGTATGGGGGTTTAAATCAAACACATGTTTCTGCAGGAAGACATAAATACACACGCAAAGTATAATGTGGAATTTTGGCTCCAAAATGATCACGGTGTTATGGACACACAAAACATCATTATTTTACAGACAGGGGAACTAAAGCTCAGGGAAGGGGAGAGTGTATGTCAGGATTTGAACCTGGCACCTTCTGTCTCTAGAGCCCCATGCCTTGCCACAACTCTGAGGGAGCCAGCGGCCCCCAGCCTGAGCAGCTTTCTGAACAGTGATCTCTACCAAGTCTGATATTTAAAGCTCCGCGCCAGCCCTCAGCCCCGCGCGTGTGACTCACATATTTCAAGTGTCAGCGACACAAGGATGATGAAGTTCAGTTCAGTTTAGTTCAGGGACTGTTAAAAATAGGGCTTCCTCAGAAGAACCCGCTCCTCCTGTCTTTTGCGGCACAGAAACACAGGCGGTTTCACGAGAACATCCAACTGCACCAACGGCTCTGCGGCCATCGGCAGGGCTGGAGCGGAAGGCGGTGCAAGCCAGCCAGGCCACCAGCTGGAGGGATCGGAGGTGCAGATGGGGGCTGGAGCCAGGCTGCAGAGAGCCGGGCAGAGGCATCGGGCTCAGGCCAGGAGGCTGAGACCCAAGGAACTCTTGGTGACAAGGATCAGGAGTCCACTCAAGATGATCTTTGAACCCCTCCAGCACCTGTCACCTCTCCTTCCCGTCATGCCCCAGTTCAGGGAACCACCCTCTTCTTCAGCCCAGGGCCTGGAAGAGTAGATTTCTCCATTCATTTTAAACACTGCCATCTCACCCTCCTTGCCAACAACTGTACCAAGGATATAAGTTCTCTGAGAGACTGGCTGCACCAGGAATAGGCAGGCACATAGCTGACAGTGATCTAATCAGACAGGAAGGAAGGATGTATAGCCCGGCGTTGGAGGGAGATGTTTCTCTACCTCTGTGGATAGGAGCAAAGAAGTATGCTGCTGCTGCTGTTGCTGGCAGCCTTTCCGTAGCCCCGAGGGAAGACAGTGTAAGATCAAAAACAAGATGTGATGGCGGAAAGAGCGTAGACAGAATGATTTAACCCTGAGCATACCATGCCCGAAACCCACCTTAGCTCTGCACTTCCTGTTCCATGAAATACTGTTTTCTTATTGAGTATAGATTGCAGTTTCTTCTTGTAACAGATGCAGGTTGAATTATATGAATGAATAATAGGGCTAGGTCACAAAAGCTGGGAGCAGAGCACTATAAGCATCCAGAACCAAGAACCAGAAAGCTGCCAGCAACCAGAGCAGTTCCTCTCTGCAGCTGTCTCTCGGGACCCACCTGGCCTCTGTTTAAAACTATTTACTCTGCTTCCCCCTCTCCTGCTCAGCTTGCTTCACACGAGCTCCCATTTGGGGGCCCAGTTTATTTATTTTTTAAAAGTCTTAATCACTTCTCAGGAAAGAGGATGCAGTTGCCCCGACCTGGCTTTGACATCCTGGCCGAAATACACAGAGTCAAGGCCTAGGCCAGATGGTAAAAAGCCCCTGACCGGAACTGGGAAAGTGATCCCCAGACACCGGCACAGGCGGCCAGGTTCGAGGTTGGCAGGAGACTGAGCCTCAATTTCCTGCATTCACGAGCGCCAAATGGAAAACTTTATAGCCTGCAAGGACTGTTAAATATTTCATCTCGCGGACAACACTGAAATGAAAAACAATGCTAATTCATTAACAGAAGTGTCAGGCTGCCTGACTACATTCTGACTTCCACCATCGAGGGTGTGTTTGTTTATGACACAGCAAACTAACCGTTCCAGGGAGGAAAAAAACAAAAAACAAAAACACTTTGGGCTTGAGTATCCAACTTCCTGGAGCTGTCCGCCCAGGCTTAGACTCCTGTAAATCAGTAAAGCCTGCGGAATGGGTCTACTCTCAGCTTTGTAGAGTGGGATGTCACCGGTCCTGCCTCCTACCGTGGCTGATTGGATAAGAAGGAAACACCCACCCGGGTTGAGCCAATCACAGCTTCTGTCCCAGAAAATGCCATTTCCTGGGCCACAAGGACTGATAAATAGGATATTGGTGTGAGTTGAGGTAGCTGAGAGATTGGGTAGCCATGACCAGGGTGACCATTTTCTCCAGGTACAGTCAGACCTCCAAATCCAGGGATTCAACTAACTGTGGAAAAAAATATTCCGAAGAAAATTAGCATCTGTTTTGAATACGCAGATTCTTGTAATTTGTTCTCTAAACAAAACAGTATAAAGCTGGGCATGGTGGTGCACATAAATAACCCCAGCACTCAGGAGGCTGAGGCAGGAGGATCCCCAAGAGTTCAAGGTAACCCTAGGCTATACACATAGTGAAGTCAAGGCCAACCTGAACTACATAGTATGATTTTCAGTACTGGGGACTGAACCAGGGGTCACTGAACTGCATCCCCACTCTATTTTTTATTCCAAGACTGGGTCTGTTCTGACTTGTCATCCTCCTGCCTGAGCCTCCTGAGTAGCTGGGGTCACCAGTGTGTGGCATCACACCCAGCCACATATAGGGTTTTACCAAGTCCATTTCCTGCTCCAATTCATTCTTTGCCCTTCCGTGCTTTCCCTGTGTCCCCAGAAGTGGATAGTTTGGCCAATGGCAGGGACTGGCAGGGAACCTGCAGGGTGAGAGGTAGGACAGGTGGGCCATTTCTTCCCAAGTCCACCCTCACTTTGGCTTTGTGTCTCTGGTGGCAGTCACGTCCCTCACAGCTGCAGCGTCTGTCTGGATGACCCCTCAGGGGCTTTCGGCCATGCTGTCCCTTCCCCCGCCTCCTCCTGTTCTCAGGCACAGTGGCTTTCTCCATCACCGCTCTCTGTCTTTCTCCCTTCTCTGTCCCCTCAGCCCCTAACACTTGGACCACAGGCCCTTTTTCAAAGTCCTTTGTCCCACCTAAATCAGATTCTGTGTTCTTCTGAGACCCTGGCGGCCACAGCTTCTCCACACCTTCCTCTAAGACACACAGGTGACCTTGAACCAGTGCTGCAGGACTCTGTGCTGGGAGGGAAGCCAGCGTTCATTTCAGTTTGGCACCAGCAGCTATGCCCAAGTTGCATCTTTGTGCAGAAGCCAACATCCAGCCTTCCCCATGTGTGTAGCCCCTGCCAAGGACCACGGGACACTGGGGACAGCAGGTCACCTGTCTGGAGGTGGCAGCAGAGCCCCTGCTCTGGGCCTTTTTTGTCTCCACTGTGCCCTCGTCTGCACTAAGAGAAGGTTGTCTCTCTGGCTCCTCTTCAAGGGGACCAAAGCTTCATGGTGGCAGGTGCGCTGTTGACCTTCCTGAAGTCCTCCCTCTCCTCCCTTCCACTCTGTACTTGGACCCAAATGGCTGGGTCAAAACACCACACTCCCAGAATCCTTTGCAGAAACGGATGGTAAGAGGATGATCTGGGCCCAGCGTATGGCGAGGGGCACAGGGAGCTGTGCTGGTGCCCAACCTCGATGCCCTGACTGGCTCTGTGCCATGTTCACCAGCACCTGCAATGTCTCTGATGCCAACACAGAATCAGGCACTGCCTCCAGGGCCCCAGGAGTTTGACTTCCTCCTAGTGTCTTCCAGGGACCCCATGCCAGTGTCTGCCCAGCACCTTTCGTCTGAGGCAGGACAAGCTCCCAGCTCCCCCTGGGCCCAGGCTGAGGCCAACCTGGATCTGCAGCTTGCTCACCTTCTTCCTTTCCCTCCCTGTGGGAGTCTTTTCCGAATAAATCACTTATATCTGGCTCCTTGGTTTAGGGTCTCATAGGGCTTTCAGGAAAGTGTCTTTAAGGGGATAAAAAAGTGCCTTTAAAAAGACTGACTCGGCCAAGTGTGGTGGCACACACCTGTAATCTCAGCACTTGGGAGGCTGAGGCAGGAGGACATCTGTGAGTTCAAGGCCAGCCTGGGCTACTTAATGAGTTGAAAGCCAGACTGAACTAATGTAATGAGACCCTGTTTCAAAAAACAAAACAGCCATCTCTGAGAAGTAGACATCTCTGAGAAGTAGAACCCTTGCCTAAGGGTTCTAAATACTTGCAATAAAGCTACTTGCCATAAGCAATTTACAAGCATCAACCCAGGAATTAAACAACAACAAAATGAGAAGACACTTAAGCAAGGTGCAGCCTCAAAAAAACAAAACAGAGTGCCAGGCATGGTGGCACACGCCTGTCATCCCAACACTCAGGAGACTGAGGCAGGAGGATCCCCAGGAGTTTAAGGCCAGCCTGGTCTACATAGTGAGTTTAAAGCCACTCTGAATGAACTATGTAGTGAGACTCTGTCTCAAAAAACAAAACAACGAACACACCAAACAAACTAAACAACAAAGGGCTGACTGACTTAGTTGGCACACCCTCATTCCTTCATTTGCCATTATCCTTCTTACTGTCTAAAATACAGATACAATGACTGGAGCTCCTGCAGCCATCTTATAACCATAATAAGCTAAAGCACAAGAACAGGACTGTGGATTCCTGACCATCTTGTGGAATCAATAGCCCTGAACTCATACTTCTTCCAGACTTCTTTCAGAGAGAGAAAAATGGTACTTTAACTCTTTTTCAAATATTAAACATAGCAGTCTACATAACTACTAGTATATTAGGCCAATAAATTATGATCTTTCTCACCATAGAAAATTTCTCCCTTGACTATCTTCCTCCGTAGGCCCTAATCACCTCACACCCCTATAACTTCCTGCCCAGCCCCAGCAACCCAAACTCTGTTACCTACATAATAACTGTGCTGATAAGAAAAATAATAGTAATAATTGATTTCTTTGAGACAGGGTCTTGCTATGTAGCTCAGGTTGGCCTCAAACTCACAGCAATCCTCCTGCCTCGGCTTCTTGATTGCTGGGATTACAGGTGTGAGACACAACATCTGGCTCGTAACAAATGTAAACTTACCACGTACCAGGCATTGTTCTAAATACCTCCCCTACAATAATCAATTTAAAATACTCTTCCAAAAGAATTCAAAGAAGCATATCATGGCAATATATGCTCTCCCATATTTATAGCAGCACAGTTTGTAGCTAAAACTTGGAAACAGCCCAATTGCCCATCAATTAGAGCCTGGAATAAAGAAGATGTGGCTTTTCAGTAAAATGGAGCACTATGCAGCCATAAAGAACAGGGAACTAGAGACATTTATAGCTAAATGGATGCATATTAAGGCCACACACTTAAGTGAAATAAATAGGACACACATGTGGAAATACCGAAGTCTCTCTGGTGTGAAAATCTAAGAGTGTAAGTAAGGTTCAAATTGCATAACTGATAATGTGCAGTAGGGAGAAAAGGGCTAGGGCCGGGGATTTAGCTCCGTGGTCCTGACACCTGCCTCGCAAGCACAAGGTCATGAGTTTGATTCCCGGCACCAAAAAAAGAAAAAAGAAAAGCAAAGGGCTAAAGGAATAGGGAAAGTGGGAAGGGTAGGAGAAAGGAAAGAAGGGAAAAGAAAAATAACATGAGAAAAAGAAAACATGGAAGCAAAGTCTTTGTAAATAAGAAGGATGTAAGGGGTGAAGGGAGGACAGGGGAATGGGAAAAAAATAAAACACCAAAATGTATGCTCAGAAAAAAAATTCCTCACAATAAATCTACAGGGTGGTTACTCACATTCATCCCTATCTTACACATGAGGCAGCTGGGCCACGGGTAGAGTTGGTCTTTGCTTCTCCAAAAATCCAAATCCTAGTTTAACGAAGCCTGCTGATAAATTTACCCCTTCCTTTTGTCCCCTTGTCCCTCCAGGCCAGCCTGGGGAGGGTGGGGGAGGAGGAGCAATATTTTCTTCCCAAACTGAAAAGTTCCACCCAAGTTAGGCGTGGTGGTGCACATTTATCTCTTCCCAACAGTCAGGAGGCTGAGGCAGGAGGATTGTCACGAGTTTGAGGCCAGCCTGGGCTACATAGTCAGTTCAAGGCCGGCCTGAACTACAAAGCAAAACCTTGTCTCAAAAAACCATAAATGATAATAGTAACAATAAAATAAAAAGTTCTATCCATATCGTTTCCTATGTGAGAGAGCGCTTTTCACTCTGAGAGCGATTCTTCCTTATGCTTAACCAGCTCAAATCATGGACAACCTTGAAAACCACCATCTGCTCATTCTGCTTTGAAAAGTGAAATACCAAGCTGGTCTCTTTTCCAGCCGCATAGGCAGAGCTCTGAGAACAGGAGCGTCCTCTTCCTCTCCCCTCCCCACCTCTCTCTTCCTTGGGCCTTTACCGCACAGCACCCTGGGCTCCTAACTCTGTTCCATGGCCCTCTTGTAGGATGTCTGCTGGGGCAGCTGCAGCCCTGGAGCCAGGGAGACTAGGATTACAGGCTGCCCCTAGCTGGCTATGAGGCAAGATAGCCTCTCTAGGCTTCAGTTTCTAAGTCAGCATTTTATTCTGTGTGTGTGTGTGTGTGTGTGTGTGTGTGTGTGTGCGCGCGCGCAGTGGAAATAGAGCGCAGAGACACTGAGCTACACCCTCAGGCCTTTTTTATTTTTTATTTTTCAGACAGGATCTTGCTAAATTGTCCAGCCTGATCTAGAACTCTTGATCCTCCTGCCTCAGCCTCCTAGAGCACTGGGATTACAGGCCTGTACTGTACTCCACTCTAGCAGCAGTGGTGCGTGACAAGGCGAGGTATGGCCAGCCAGGTCGATGCAAGCGGCCTCACTGATGGGATGGAGTGGGTGGCCAGGCCGAGTCCCAGAGAGGGGTCAGATTGGGGGATCCCGGCACCTGCCTCTTGGAGAGAGGTGGATTTGCCAGTGACGGTGGACCCGGACAATACCCGCTGTCCCTTGTGATTCGTTCCCGGGTTTGTGGAAGAGAAGAAAGGGACATCAGGGTGTGGGAAGGGAGAGAGGAGGCTTCCGAGTCTGCCGCTCCCAGTGCGAATCCTTATTTTGCAGCTGTGTACTGTGGACCAGCGTCTTCCCCTCTCCCGGCCTCAGTTTCTCTTCTGAGGAGCAGGGCTCACGTCCTCGACTCCTGGGGAGATCTGAGAGCCGTGTGTGGCTGCTCTTTCCCTCCTAGGGTGACGATGAGGCATTTCCGGCAGCACACTCAGCTGCGGTCCCCTGAGAAGCCGAGGCCAGCCGGGGACCCAGAGGGGACAGGAAGCCGAAGTGAGTTAATGCGGAGCCGGAGGATGGCACAGGAGAGGAACGGGAGAAGCTGCACCAACACCCGCCCGGGGGGGCCTCCCAGCAAACCAGGAGGTGAGTCTGTTATCTATCTGCCTGTACAGATCAGGAAACTGAGGCACGGAGCGGGGGTGATGTCACAGAGAATGAGAGGAAGAGGCAGCATCCAAACCAGCTTGGCTCTACTTAGTGACAGTTGGCTGTCACTGGGTCTTACTGCCCCCTCCGAGGAGGGTATGGACCTCCCAAGTCACTTTAGCCCCCACCCCAATTTTCTTTTTTCTTCTTTGGTGATACTGAGGATTGAACCCAGGGCCTTCACACTGAGCCACATCCATACCCACCCCCATTTTAAAACTTTTATTTTGAGACAGGGTCTCCCTGTGCTGCCCAGGCTGGGCTTGAACTTGCAGTCCTGCCTCACATGTCACAGGTGTGCACCGCTCTCCGTTCTCCTGACCTGTTTTCTATTTCCATTGCTCCCAGGCTCCTTTGGACTTTGTACGTCCATTTCCCAGGGGCTTGACCATGATGGCCTTTTCCCCAAGAACTCAGCAGACCAAGTGTGAAGTCCCAACAGCCTGAGGACTGGGCCCTTAGCCTGAGGTCCCCAAGTTCAACTTTCACACTCTGAATCCTGGGCTTTCTTGCAAAGCTGTCGTCTCCTCCAACAGGTTTGGATTAATCTCCTTCTCCAACACCTCAGGATCAGGAGGACAGCTGGGTCACCTGCCTCAGCCTCGCCAGACCCAATTAACCACCATGATCTCGAAATACACTCCTGGCACTCGCTCCAGAAGTGTCTGCTGATGAACGCCGGCAGAGGCTTGGGACGGCGTACTGCACCTACAGGAGTGTGCAGCCCTGAGCACAGGTCTGCCTCGACCCTCACACCAGACCCCGCCTTGCCCTGAATCTGGGTCACTTTAAAGCTGCACCAAATTCTACTTAATTTAACTTCCAGAAAATAAAAACTGGTCAATAGTCATTAAAGAACTGGAGAGCTGGGCGTGGTGACACACGCCTGTACTCCCAGCACTCAGAAGGCTGAGGCACAAGGATCCCCATGAATTTGAGGCCAGCCTGGGCTACACAACAAGACCCTATGCGGGGGAAGAAAAGAAGTCATTGATTTCTGTACTAAGGGTGTGTCCGGGGTCAATGGGACCCCCTTATTTGGTGAACTGGGCCCCCCTCTGATGGGGAGCTGTGCAGACAGAACATCAAGCCCTGCTTTCTGCTCACAGAGAGCGCAGAGGCAAACAGCATCTCTATTTGCATCCTGGGATCAAGCCAAAGTCTGGGAAAAGTCTGTGCCCTGGAATCACCAACCTGGACTACTGAGGACACGACATAACTGAGGCCACGACCCATCAGTGACCAGGTGAGTGTACCCAGGCCTGTTGGGTGATCTTCGGGTTTTGTTTGTCTGTTTTTGAGACCGGGACTCACTATGTAGACCAGGCTGGCCCTGGACTCACTACAGAGCCCAGAGTGCTGGGCTAACAGACTTGTGCCGCCACACCTGGCTTCTGTTGAGTGATCTTTAGACCTGGCACCAGCAGGTTATGGCCTCAGTTAAGTTGTGTCCTCAGCCTCAGACCTGGGTTTCCTTCCAGAACATTCCTGACCTGATTTACATCATTCAGTCAGAGTTAAGCAAACACAGGCTCTGCAGTTAGACAGGTTTAAGTTTAATCCCAGCCTACAAAATGGAGCCAATGCTATTTCCTCCTATTTGTCTGTTATGTTTTGGTGTTTCTGAGACAGGGTCTTTCAATGTAGTCCAGGTTGATATTGAACTTACTGTCACTCAGGCTACCCTGGAATATGCAGCAATCCTCCTGCCTCAGCCTCCCAAGAGCTGGGATTACAGGAGTGTGCCACCATGCCCTGCTCTGTTTCTCTCCACTGAGCAGCAAGGATTCTGGGTAAGGAGGCAACCCAAAAGCTCACACATTGCCTGCATGACACTGTAGCTATTTTTGTCGCTGCCATCCAGCCTGGACCCCTCCCTTGTCCCTGCCCATTCCCACCCCAAAGCTTCAGCCTACTTGGACCTGCTTGCTTGAGCCCTCCTGCCTTCCAGAGGATCAAAGTCAGGGAGAAATTAAAAGCCCAGCAGGATTCCCTGAAACTCAGCCAGCTTAGCTACCCAGACAATTAAAGAAGTCTCTGGGATTTCAGTTTCCAGTAAATCGGATCTTTAAAAAAAAAAAAAAAAATCATCAACTCAGAATCCCTCTGAGGGACTAAATCTGGTGTCCCATAAAGCTATTTGGGCATTGGAATTATTGAGAGTAAGAGCTGAGATGATAACGGGGGTCTTGGACAGGGCCGCCCCTCTGCTCCAGGGCTTCAAGGTCAACAGAGATGTCCAACATACAATTCCTGGGGCACACACGGACCGAGGGGCAGGCCATCTGACAACCGTCGAGACTCTGCGTGTCAAGGTCAGACATGACCACAGGAAAAAAAAAATAAAGCGAAGGCACTTTCAGATTAAAAGGCATCTATCAAAAGAGACAACTAAAAGTGCCATGTGATTATTTCAAAGGTGAGGGACAATTGGCTCTGTGGATGAGATCACAGTACACGTCTCGAGTTTGATAAGTACACCTGGTTGTGTAAGAGAATTCTCTGGCTGTTAGAGGATAGCAGCAGGTAAAGAGCCATCACCTTTGTTTTGTTTTGTTTTGTTTTGTTTTTTGAGACGATCTCACTTTGTAGTCCAGGCTGGCCTTGAACTCACCATGTAGCCCAGACTGGCCTTGAATTTGTGGTGGTCCTCTTGCCTCAGCCTCCCAGTGCTGGGATTGTAGATGTGAACCAACTTGCCCAATTTATAAGAGTAAAATTATTTTGGTGAAAAGCTTGCTTGTTTGTTTGATGCAGATGCCTGGGTCAGTCCCTTGCAGAGCCCAGTGCACTGAACTTTGTGTGGGGGGCAGCCCAGGAATGCATTTCTGCAAGCTTCTCATGGATTCCAACCCACAGGAAGCCCAACTATCATTCCCAGCTCTGCAGAAACTGAGGCACTCTTTGCCAATCGGAAGGCAGAAACCTTGACCTCCCTCTGGTCTGTACCTTCCTTTCCCTGGTATAACACAGATATGAAGGAGCCACAGGGGCTGCTGGCCTTGACAAGCCACTAGCTGGACAGGTCCTCCGGATTTCTGCCCTGAGCAAGGTTTGCTCCACCCCTCTAACCCACTTACAATTACAGGACATAGAGGACAATCAGTGGGGGTGGGAGATGGGAAGAAAGAAACTGAGGGTGGAGGAGGACGCAGCAAGACAAGCTGGAGGGGCCCCAGGAGAGTGTGTGCACTTCACAGGGAGAGCAGCACCCTGCCTGGCGTGAAGTCTCCTCGGTCATTTTCATTTGGGGACACTGGCAGCAGCTGCCCTTTCCCAGTGCATGGGAGGCCCTTGCAGTGCCGTGTGGTGTCGGTGTTTCTAAGAGTGCCGGGGCTGTCTCAGCCCGGCCAGACTGCGTCTCACAGAGGCGGCCAGAGGGGGAGCTGACTCCACCCTGCGAGAAATGAGGAGAAGAAAGCAGGCTGGGGGCCTTGCAGACTTCAGGGACCAGGACCCTCAGTAAGGACATTCCCATTACAACCTGCACTGCCACGCACACACATGCACCCAGATACCCCGGATCGGATAGGAAATGTTCCGCCCTCTTCCAAGGAGGGCCCTGTTGCCCCGGCTGCAGCTGCAGGGAGCACTGTCCTCAGTCTGCAGCTGGTGGACCCTCGATGTGAGTCCCTGCCCCAGGCCATGCCACTCCCCTGGGAGAGCCCTTGTGCAATGACTGGTCCATCGATCAAGACACAGCACAAAGGCGTGGCCATTTGGCCCAACTCCAGATGATTCCCAAGAGCCATTCGAACTTCCGGGTTCCAGGAAGAGTTAGTTAAGGTGGGTACTGGACATGAACCTCAGGGCAACTTTCTCCCCTCAGAAGAACCCCTTCTCTTTTCCTCCCCAGGAGTGGATCCCAGGGCGTCCCTCATTCAGCACCTGAAATTCTGTCCAGATTCTAAAACCTGCCTCAGGGCCTGCTTTCCTGGGAACCGAACCTGGCACATGTGATTCAATCCCCTGGGACATGTGATTCAATCAAGAGTTTTGCAGAGCAATACTTAATCCCTTCTATGCAGCCAAGCATCCTTGTATTATCTGTATTACTGTATTTCACTTTTTAAAATGTTTGCTAGGGCCCACTAATTGATTTTGCTCAGCCATGGATTTGAAAACACTAACCCACAGGGTATCTTCGGCTGCAAGTAAAAGAATGCCTGATTAAGCATGGATGAAATCGCTGGGGGTTGTGCTTTGCATAATGCGTATTTGGCAACAGTGGTTTCAGGATTAGTTCACAACTCAGCAAGTTTCTTAAGAACCAGTGTTCTTCCCAGTTCTTTTCCTACATCCTCAACATGTTGGCCATGTCCTCATTGTGACAAGACAGCTGCCACTGCCAGTCACCATGTTATCACACAACCACCTCCGGAGGAAGCATGGCTGCAAAGCATCTCTTCACACATTTCTTTCAGTTCAGGGAAAGAGAAAAACAAAATTCTGCAGAAATGCTGAGAATAGACCTCCCTGTAGGTCACACTGGTCAGAACTGGGCCATTGTTCATGGCTCAGTCAGTCGCTGCTATCAAACATACGAAGGTTCCATGAGCGAAAACAAAAAAAGTGATTGTTTCAAGTCTGTCCATTTCAGATCTCCCCTCTAGGGCCCCGTGTCAGACCCAGAGGGAGGGAAAAAGTCATTGATCCAGGAAGATTCAGAGCAATTGTCATCACTAAGCACATGGACCCAAGGAGCCCGCACAGCCCTCACAGCAAGGGTCACACCGGGCACAAGAGTGGTGTTACCACAGAGTGCACCATGCACCAGGACCGTCATTAGGATGACAACCCAGCCCTCCGGGCCCCTGCCTTGGCCTCTGTACCAGACAGCCTGTCTGAACCCTACCTGTCTTAGCCAGTGTGGTGGCACCATCTGTGATCCCAGCACCCGGGGAGGCTCAGGAAGGAAGACCAGAAGTTCCAGCCCATCTGGGCAATTTAACAAGACCGTGACATAAAATAAAGTGAGCAGGGATGTAGCATGGTAGGAAGGCCTTGGGTTTAAAACTCTAGTACAGAAAAAAAATCCCACTTGCCTTTCAAAAAGGTCCAACTCAGGGCCTGGGATTTATCTCAGTGGCACCATGCCTGCCTCTCAAGTACAAGGTCCTGAGTTTGATCTCCAGTACCAAAGAAAAAATATAAATAAAAAAAGGTCCAACGAAGACCTGACTCCAGGAATCTTCCCGCGGGTCTCCCAGCCCTGTCCAAAATGAGTCACAGAATCCAGCTGTTCAAACGTCTCATCACGACAAGCTGTTGCCAAACATCAAGTGCTCTCTGACGCAATGCAGAGAAACATCCCTGTAAAATATCCTCGTCAAAAAAACATGAAACAAATGCAGCCTATAGATCAAGTACTAGTTTACCAGGAATACAGACTAACAATAAAATAACACCTGGGATGTAATTAGTGGGAAACTGAAAGTCCAAAGCCAGCATCTTCAGCAAGTAAGAGATCTTTTCAAAAAGGAGAAGCTCTGTAGAGTTGTGTGAGTTTTCTGTTTGTCACAATAATATTATGAAATAAACTATAATTTAAGTTATAATTTAAAGATAATACCTGATGATGAGTCATGTGATGTGGCTGGGGGTCAGTTCTGCTGACGCGGGCAGGGCCTGTGAAGGCTCCGTGGGCAGCTGGCTGGTCAGGTGGCACCAGCTGGGGCAGAGTAGCCTCCCCTGGAACAGGCTGCTTGGGTTTGCTCTCCTGGCTGAGGAAAGGGTCCAGGAGACCTGTGGAATCACATTGGACTTCTCAAGGCCCAGTGTCCAAAATCATTCAGCTTCACTTCTGCTGCAGTGGATTGGCCAGAGCAAGTCATATAATGGAGGCCAGCTTCAAAGGTGGGAAAGACTCTTCCTCCTAGTAAGAGAAGCTGAAAAGTCACCTTGCCAAGGGCACAACTACGGAGATTTTTTTATTTTTATTTTTTTTGCAATCAATCCGCTACAAAGTTAAAAGAAACCAAGTACTATAAAAATTGGTCCAAAGTTGCCTCCATACATAATAAAGTTTGGCCTGTATAAATTGTTTCTTCATTCATAATGAACTGTAACCTACCTTGGTAGGTAAGCAGACTGTAATCTACTCTCATAGCAAGTAGCTACATCTCAGCCAATCTCAGGGGCCAACTGTTCAAACTATGCTCAGATGTCATGCACACTAGCTGTGACCTATAGGTTTGTTTTTGTCTCATTACCATTTTCCATATGTCACGTT